TGTGCTCAGTGGTGAAACTAAACTCGGATAGGTCGCGCCACCAGCGAGCCTGTTGAGGAGTGAGCTTCGGTTTTGTCAGAAAAGCCTGGACAACAGAGTTGTTCGTACGCACCGTGAACGGTGCCCCGTGCAGGTAGTGACGTCAGTGCCGAGCGTCATAAACTACTGCGAGAACCTCACGTTCATTAGCAGTGTAGTTTATCTCGGCGGGCAGGAGCTGACGGGAGTAGAAGGCTATCGGACAATCACCTGAGCTAGACTCGACAGTGCCGTCCTCGACGATGGTAGGAGAATAGTCAATAGAAGGCTCGTCAGTAGCTGGACGAGTAGGCGTCAGTCGGGAAGCGGTGGTAGGGGTAGGTGGTGGGAAGCGAGGGATACGAGGATGAGAGGAATCAGGAGAGGAGGGGAAGACCTGAGAAAGCACTGCTCCTACAGCAAAGTCTGACGCATCTGTGGTAAGGATAAAAGGGCGATCGAAATCGAGTAGGTGAAGAACCGGTGCGCATATCACCGCCTTCTTGAGGGCGCGGAAGGCATCCTCGTGGAGGGGTGTCCAAGGCCAGGGTGGGTTCCTCCGAAGGAGGGTGGAGGTAAGGACGTAGGAATACTTAGCGTATCCCCAGATGAAATTACTATAGTAGCTGGTCAGGCCTAAGAAGCTGCGAAGCTGCTTGGCGGATGTGGGGGCGGGCAACTCCACAATAGCAGTGATCTACGCGTTGTCCATGTGGAGACCCTGGTCAGACACGTAGTGTCCTAAGAAATCCACTTTGTGCTGGGCAAAATGACACTTTCTCAGCTTGGCGTAGAAGCCATGTCTGCGCAAGCGGTCAAGGACGTCGCGGAGGTGTCTGAGGTGCTCCTCAAGGGTACGACTATAGACCAGGATATCGTCGAGGTAGACGAGAACGTACTGCTCCAGGATGTCCCTGAAGATGTCGTTCATCGCCCTCTAGAAGGTAGCGGGTACGTTGGTGAGGCCAAATGGCATCACCGTGAACTTGTAGTGGCCGAATCGCGATCGGAACGAGGTCTTCGGCTGGTCGGCTGCAGCGACGCTGATCTGATGTTAACCGCTACGAAGATCAATCTTCGTAAAGAAGCGGTTGCCTGCTAGGCGGTCGAACAACTCATTGGAACGAGGCATGGGGTAGCTGTTCTTAACCGYGTAGCGGTTRAGRYCGCGGTAGTCGATGSAGAGACRAAGAGTTYCATCCGCTTTGCGAGCAAAGAGGACGGGTGCACCCCACGGGGAGTTGCTGAGTTTAATGAAACCCAGTCTCAGGAGCTCCTCAAGCTGACGCTTGAGTTCGGTGGCCTCGGGGATCGAGAGTCTGTAGGGTGCCTGGTGGTGAACACGATAGTCAGGCACAAGCTGAATGGAGTGCTCGACGTCACGCATCGGTGGGATGCCGGCGTACGAGAAAGACGATGGAAAAACGTCGTGGTACTCTTGGATGAGGTCACGAACTGCGGGCTCTAGGTCAGCCGTATATCGTGCGAGCTCCTCAGCATCAGCGTCAGCGCGCGACGACGGAGTGGACTCGACGGACGGCGGAGGGATGGAAGTAGAGATGGGAGCCATGGACATAGAAGGAGGATCTGGCTTCAGAGGGATGAGCTCGGCGTCGGGACAGGGTGGATCATAGTGTAAGATATCCGTCACGTCCACCATAAAGAAGGTGACGTCGTCCTGTCGGATGAAGTGGGCGAACTGCCGAGGCGAGGTGACAGTGATGGAAGGAGATGGTGTGGGCACCGAAGGCTCCGGGGGAGGAGGATCGGGGCGTGGTGTCGCAGTGGTACCTATGAAAGGTACGTGATACATCTGTCCACACTTCGTTTTGAGAACGAGAGTGTTGGTCGCCCAATTGGCCTCGGTGCTGCGGAACCGACGAGATCATGGAGTGCCGAGAATGAAGTCGTACCCCGTCTCCATTACATCGAAATGTGCAGAGGAGTGGTGGCGACGAGACGCCGGAGAACGATCAGTCGGCTCGAGAGTGAGGAAGAAAGGGACGTCGGTGACCGTCTGATCGAAGAAGCGCTGGGTCTTGTCATCCCCTAGGGTAACGGAAATGGGAGTCGGAGACCCTGTCATGGGTAAGCGAGCTTCTTTCACCACGCGTGGGTGAATGAAGTCGCCCTGAGAACCGGAATCCCACAGCGCGGAGTACACCCTCGTGGAGGTCCCGAGTCGTACTGGGATGATCGGGAGGGTGCGATCAGGGTCAGAGAGGATGTTGAGAAGGCATCACAGTGCAGCGACATGGAGGGTGAGTCGCTCCTGACGAGCCTGGAGCATGCTCAAGTCGAGAAGAGAGGACACAACGTCCTCGCGAGTAGCGAGCTGCTCGCTGCAACGGGCTGAGCGAATAGCTCGACGCGTCGGTAGTCGCGGCGGGGAAGGAGGGGAGACGGTGGTCTGCGGAGGCGCAGACGGTACTGCGACAGAGGGCTGAGTACACTCTGTCGAGTCCTGCGATACCTCAACCCCAGTAGCGAGAGCGGCGAACCGCGACGGAGATGTCGGGAAGCCCACAACTGAGGAGGGCGCAGGTGTACACTGCACCGTGGCTAGGAGGCGCCGCGGGGACGTGAGGCCTCGGGGGGGGACTGAGCACGACGCTGACGAGAAAGGTCAGCGTAGTGGCGGTCGAGGGCGGTAGTGTAAGGGCACCGCGAGGAGGTATGACCGTCCAAGCGGCAGCGCAAACACCCACGTCGGCCCAGAATAGCCGCGCGCTCCTCAGAGGAAAGGACACCACGAGGAGGGACGAAGCCCTGAGGGAGGTCCTCCTGAGGGACCTCGGGGGGCGACGTGCCAGCGTGACCGGGGCGGCTGCGTGCGCGAGAGAGGGCGGAGAGCGCGAGCTGAAGGCGCTCAGCTGCAGGGAGGGTAGAGTCCTCTAAGTGATAGTGGACGACCGCAGAGATCGAGGTCGTCGCTGTGGTTGCCCTCAGGTGACAGTGGGGCAACAGCGTCCTGCTCACCATACTCCAGCGCGCTGAAGCGGCGCGAGAAGTGGCGGACCTGCTGCGTGGAACGGCGGGGGCGACCACGGAAAGGGGAACGGCGCTGGGAAGTGCCGTGAGAGGAGGAGGAGGCGTAGCCCGTGCGGGGGCTGGGAGGAGGAGGCGGGGTGAAGACGGGCTCGCATCCGCTGATGGTCCCTGGCGGCCTCGTAAGCCTGTGGCGCCGATGTGAACTCGTACCGCCATAGCTCGGAGCGGTACTCGAGCGGAAGGCTGGCCAAGAAACAATCGATAAGGGCAGCCTCGGGGAGGAACGCCACGTCGTAAATGAGGCGGGCGTCCTGAAGGACCTGGATGTGGCGATCCAGGCCGGCAGCACCACCAGAGCCGGACCAGCGTGTAGTGACGACACGCTCGAAGGCGTCAGTCACGTCATATCGGGTTCCGAAGCGATCCTCGAGGAACGCCTGAAAATCCATGAAGGTCGGAGTCCGACCCTCACGCAGGGAGTAAGCATAGAAATCCTCCCAAGCGTCGAAAGGAGCACCACGCAGGCGCGTGGAGAGGTGACCCACCCATGTGTCGGGTGTGGCGCCCATGAGCTGGAGCGTGCGGGTGGCAGCCTGCAGCCACCTAGACACGCGTATGCCTGTACCGTTATACAAGGGAATGTCCGACAAGCGGATGAGTGGTGTGCCACCGTTTTGGCGGCGCGGGGAAAGGGAAGCAGGGGACTGCGCTACGGCGGAATAAGTACGCAGGTCCTGGAGGAGGAGGAGGCGCAACTGACTGTACGCCCGGGCCGCATGGTGGAGCGGCGGGGGAAGCAGCGGCAGGCTGCACTGCGGTAGAAGAGGTCGCGGCAACCGAGGGGATGGGGAGGAGGTAGGATGGAGATTGGTAGGGTGCATGGCCAGGGAAGCGAGCCTGCATGGAAGGAAGAATAGAGGAAGAAGGGGGTGCATCGGAAGGCATGGCCACATGTGAGGGTGGGGGTGGCTGAAGGTGTGAGAGGGCGAGGTCGGTCCGGGGCCGGACGATCTCGTGCTCGAGACTTCGAACGTAGGTCGAGCGAGGTGTGGCAGGGGGAGACGCACGAGCGGCGCGAGGCATCCCACAAAGGGGAGAGCCAGATGGCGCTGCGGTCGTGCGAAGAGGGGGAAGAAGTGGGGCACCCGGAAAAGCTGAGACCATGGTAGCGGGTTGTGGTCCCGTGGCCGTCGTGACTGGAATCTGGGTGGGTGCGCCCGTGGACTGAGGGAGGGCCTGACTTGTGGCGGTCGTTGTGCTAGGTGCGTGGACGGTCACCAAGATGGCCGAGTCGGGGGCAGCGGAGGAGGAAGCTCCACCGTGGCCACCCTGTTGGAAGGCAGGGGATCCGGATTGGGAGCCAGGAGAAGAGATAGGGTGAGGAGAGGAAGGACGACCAACGTCCTGGAGTTGCCGCACGCCGGCGGCAAGGGTCGCCACCTGCGCTTGTAAGGGCGCGAGGGTCGCGAGTTGCGCCTGGATGGGCGCCAGGAAGGAGGTGAGGAGGGTGTGCAGATCCCCCTGGGGCTGATGACCCTGGTCTGCCGGCACGGGTGTGGAGCCCGATGCTGTGGTTATCGCCGTGTCGGCGGCGTGTGACACACCGTCAGCCATGGGGAGATGACGGACCGGACTGGAGGGGGCCAGAAGAGGTCCGCGTGAGCGGAGGGCGTAGGGGGAAGTCCGCGGTAGAAAGCGGCGAACGGCGCTAGCAAGGCTAGCGCGGGCACCGTCAAAGGGGGAGGGGTGGTTCGGGTCCAGGGTGCCCGAAGAGGACGGGGAAGTAGGGGGGTTGAAGAACCCTAAACCCTAAAAAACCCTAAGAAAACCCTAACCGAGGCTTAACTGCTTAGGGTAGGGTACCGGTGACCTAATCAAGAAAGTAAAAGAGCAAGCATTGGGGGGGGAAAGCGGGAGAAAAATAAATAAACAGCGAGATTTCGAGAAAAAATAAAAATAAATAAGGAAATAAATAAATAAT